ACCTCCCTCATCCTTGGCCCTATCTCAAAGAATTTTTTGAAATGGTTGAAAAATTGAGCTTTCAATTCATATAGTGGCATCTGTCTGTTTGTTTTTTAAAGGTTACTTTATACTTTTATACTTTCAGTATCTTGGAGCACATACTTTTTCACTTTTACTTGAGAGAAGAGGTCAAGTTGATACTTCAACTTTTACCAGAGTGTTTTTAAATTGCAGTATCTATACTTCTACTTAAGTAACAAATGTGTCTACTTTTGACACCACTGTATATAAAGTAATAATATACAATTTATGTGCATAATTATGCTTTTAAAGTAAAGTTAAACAAATAAGTGTACTTTAATTTCCATTCAATTTTATACGAAATACTGTAAATGCCTTCACTAACAGTAGCTGAAACATCTAAAACCAGAGAGGCGTCTTACTCGTTGTGTTGTCGCCGTCTGGGACTACATCCTCTGTACCATTTCTGCCCAGGAACGATTTGATGTTGTTGTCTTCGTACCAGTTGAGAGATGGGATGCGTTCGCCGCCAACTTTGGGGTGGCCGCACATGATTCTTGAAAAAGCCCTGAAACTCTCCCTGGGCAGAGCTGTTCGATTTTCTGGAGACAGAAGACTAAGAGCTTCGTTCATTTCTGCAAAACTGGAAAGGGAGGAAAACTGAGGGAGGAAATACCAAAAGGTTATGGGGAAGATTGGAAAGACGGGAAAAGAAACATTAATTCAAGAAAACAGTGAAAAACAGAAGAATTTGTAAAGATTACAGAACAATGCTTGATAAATTTTCAAATGAGTGATTCTCTCCTCACGTCATCTATAAGGACAGCGAGCTCCTGGGATACTGAGGTGATGGCCTGACTGATGAGCCTCAGCTCCTCAGCGCTGCCAATTAGACGGTCTCTCTGTAAAACATTTAGAAAAGTCTACGTTTTGGGGATGGAGTTGCAGATCCTTTCAAAACAAAAGCATAGATCTTTTTACAGTTGACTTATTTCTATCCTCGTTTAGCTTCTTTAATATCCAGTGTCATATCACAACCTTAATATACACAAAATGCTGTTTTAAAATGAAGATTTAATCCATAGAAATATGTTTGTCACCTTAGTGAGACCTTAGGGTTACACATCAGGATAATGATCCTGGGGAAAACTTGAAAGCCTCCCTTCAACTTAAACATACTGTATGTAGGATTCTGTGGGCTTGATGAGGTTGGGATTTTAATCTCATCAAGATGCTGTGGCACTAAATCCCAGTTACTGTTTGATAGCAGTTTGCTTTAGAGGCCAATATATTTTTTACATAAAAAAAAACATAATTTTAATTTTTTTTTTTTTATTAATTTACTTCAGTTATCTTGGAAATTCTGTCTAAAATTAAAATTGTCTTGATTATATGAAACATTCAAGTATAAAAAATGGGAAAAAACAGACCAAATTTGTAAAGTGTGACATTTTTTATAGCAGCCAAACGTCCTTACTGTAAGCAACTTGGTCACATCAAGCTGAGAGAGGAAAATGCGCTCAGCATCCTGCAGGACATCAGCTGGAAGCTTACAAAGCTCGATCTGAAGAGCCGTCATGTTGGCTGCTCCTCCCTCCACTGACAGCAACTGTCCCAGCATGGTTTCATTGCACACTAAGGCTTTCAGTGGCATCTGGAGTCCAGTAATTACAGCCTGGAAAGTAGAAAATTATTATTGCAGTTAAAAATAAAATACAGAAAATTATCAAAATTGCATGTTTGGACACAAAGAAACGTGCAACTGATTAGAATAATGTACTCAACATGTGTATGTGTAAATAAGAAAATGAAAACAGACCACTTACAAGAAAATAAAAAAAATTAAAAAAATCAGCAAATACCAGCAGGGACATAAACTATTACTGTGCTTTCTTGGAGCGTTGTAATAACATCTCTGTTGGATAATGTTTTCCAAGCTGTTGCTGAACTGGAATGCTCCTTCAGTGACAGACCGCTCTATCCTAGTAGCCTGACGTAGTCCTACTCAATTCTACTCAATTCCCGACCTCAAACGTTGTGGGCGGGACTAAGTTCGGAATGGCACCCAGGCTACTATCCTAGATGCACCAAAGAGTATTAACATAGATCCTTCCTCCCAGCAGCTGTAAGACTTTATAACCAACTCTGTTCCCAACAACCTCAATAACTTTTTACATTCATGCTGATTTTGTAGTTTCTTTCTTAGTCAGTTAAATAACATGCTGCTGTCATTTTGCACATCTCTGGTGTTACTGCTATTTTTCACATATCCATTTCTGTAAAAATGTCCACAGCTGTATATTGGTTATTTACTCTCCAGATATAGAGTATTTATATTGTAAAAACCCTGTACAGTATTGTGTATGTTTTATTTATCTCTGTCACTTATTCTATTACTTTTATAAACTTTTTAAGGTCCACATTTGTGTGTCGACTTTTGCTATAATCTTTTGCTGCTGTTACGCCACAATTTCCCCATTGTGGGACAATAAAGGGTTTTCTATTGCATAACAGGAAGGAATTGTGATAGCGCTGCTATTAGATCACCAAAAAATAAAACTGGATTTTGAACATTCTCAGACATCACGTCTGACCTCAGAGGTAAATAGGTTTAGCTCATAATGGGAATTCTTCAAAATTTCTCTGCTCTGCTTTGCTTTTAAAAGAGCACTCCTCCTACAGGACCTTTGGAAAACAGCGCTGCTGGGATGACGCAGAAATTTTTGATTTATGCTCAATATAGAAGCGTTGTCTGCACTATGTTTATTCCACACCCCAATGCAAAAGGGGAAAATCACGAACTAGCTGGATCTAGATATGGCCCAGGCGGTGAGGAAATGGGGGCAAGTTTGTCCTATAAGGGAGGGACATGAGGGCGAAAAAGGATGCGGATCCAGGTGGAAAAAGGGTCCCAGCATTCTCGCGCACCTCGCTCTTCTAGCTGGTCCATCTTCACGAGTCCTTTTCCGCAATTGCGGTCATACAAACAAAACAAGCCGGTAAGGTACCAAAAAGGAGACGCATAGTGTAGAGCGGATGTAGATTTGACCAATCAGAGGCCTCCTTGTCTGCGGCGCTGTCTGCGGGTTACCTACAATTTGGGAGAGGTGCAGCAGAGTGTCTGCGGAAGGGGCAGGGATGTCTCTGCGTTTACCGCGACACCTACGCAGACAACCTTGTTTCGAAGTATAAATCAGCCTTCCCACTATACACCCCACACTTACAGCTGTTACTCTCTAAGCAGCTGGAAAACGCTTAGAAGTCGGTAGAACTGCAGATTTTCTCATGTAAGCTAGCATACAGCAGCCTTTTTTTGCTGCAAATTGCTGCCAGTGAAGTATATATAAAAAATATTTTTATTGCTGTCATGTAATGTAAAACAGCCTCTCCATGTTTTATAACAGCACGCTAAAAATGGATCACTCTGAAGTCACAATAGTAAGACCAATAACAGGTCTGCTTCTTGCATTCCTTTTGTTTGAGGTCTGGCCAAGGAGATAAAAGCCTTTCCTAAATTATTCACTCTCCAGTCTGATTCTTGTTTTTTCCTCCTTTCTATTTTTGACAAAACGTTTTCTTTCCATATTTTTTGATGGCTCCACCATATAATAAACATTTACTTAATCACCTTTTGGTAGCGCAGCCTGAGGCGTGCAGCTATTGATGCGAACAGCCTCAGGTTGGGCCGCCATAAAGCTGGTCATCTTACCGCGAGTTAAAGAACAGAGCAGCAAGACTTCCATAAGGCTGCAAGCAAAAAAAACTGCAAGAGTGGATTTCTGACCAGAGTCAGTAGTGGGATACGACTGGCCACATAAAACCCTAAAAAAGGCTTTGATAGCAGCACAGCTCGATGCTTTTAAAGGCAAAGATCAGTTTGCAGAAGTAACAAATCTTTTGGGCTGTTTTTGTTTAGTACTTTGTCCTCTAAGTTTATCACTTAATTTTGTCAAACTTTTTCCCCTGTGTCATTAAAGGCAGCCCAAGAAGCACTAGTGGAGCTTGATCACCCAGTTTTAGGGAGATTTTATTTGACTGCATGTCTTTATTACATAATGTGACTAATTAAACACATTACTAAAATCTGAACAACATACAACTTAACCTACAAACAAATAGAATCCTGAAAGAATCTCTGTGGTAACTTTAACAAGTTTTCAGTCTTGAGTGTATTCAGCTTAATGTTGATTAGATTTGACTTTACATTTTCCAGCAGTTGAGAATAATTGAGAATAATGGTTAAAAAAAAGTCCAAAATATCGAGATTTTGTCAGAACAGAGGATAAGAGCCAAAATACATTATGTAGAGTAGATTAAGATTTAATTTGGTGAATAAAAGTAAAACCTGAAAATCAAGGCGCGCATTCATCAGCTGGTCTACAGTTGAAGACGACAGGCTGGCGTTGGTCAGGAGAAAACTGGAGAAGGTCTCCCTGGGTCTCAGGCATTCTTTAACTGGTAAACCTAAAGCAGGACACAGTGATCAAAATGCAGCTTTACCAGAAATAAAAATACACCAGGATTATTCAGAAGAGCAGAACAAATCTGAGCTTTCTGTTGAAAGGTTGATAAAATTAGAGGAATAACTCAAGCCTTAAAGCCATGCAAGGAATTCTGCCGTCATTCATTGGTACCGTATATTCTCTGTGTGAAGAATGTGACACTAGGAATTCCAGTATATTTTCCAAATAGTATTTTGTAGGAGTGCACTGGCAAAAATACTAAACCAGACATGTAAAAAAATGTAAAACCTGTTTAACTGTTGGTTAGGTGGGGCTTTCAAATGTAAAAGCAAGGTTTAGAACAGTGACAGTGGATGATTTTTTTATACCATTGCAAAGGTAAATAATATCTGTTTCACATCCAAGTATCGGCTGATCACAGATCATCCAAAATAGGGAAATCTAAGCCAATCTATAGTCTGGCTGATTGACCAGCGAACCCCTCATGTTTTGAAAGCAGTTTGGCATTTAGAGGGAATATCTGGTTCAATGCAAAATTAGTAGTGATGAACCATCCTGGGATAGGACATGGGTCAGGTAATATAATTAGCAGCTATTGTTGATCACACAGCTTCACACCCACCATACCTTTAAAACTAACGGGGTGATTTCAGTTCTGGCTTAAATGCCTTATACACAAGTTTTAAAAGGTTATTTAATGACCTATTTATCTGAGATAATGTGAAAGGACATAAAGCAGTAAAGCTATTTTATTTAAGCATTGTCAGAGATCACATGTAATAAAAAAATGTTGAAATTCACTTGGTTTCAGCTTCTGCCTCCTGCCTTTAATCTACTAACATAAAAGAGAAAACACAGACAGGTTTAAAGAACTAAATTACTGTTGGACAAAAGGGCAAAGCTGCTTTCACTCAGTCCATTCTGTTTCAGACTCAGGTAACTTAATCTGAGGCCAGCTGACACCGACACTGTGAGGCTTTTTACAAAAGCAGAAGTGAACAATAATGCTTGTCATTCATCAGCACTTTGTACCAGTCACACAGAGTAGCTGCTGATTTTCTCCTCAGATAGAATACAGCATTTCAACAAGTGTCAGTATTGTTTTTTTCCTCCCGGATTATGTTTTTTTCAGATATGTTAAACAGTTTGATCTGGGAAAAGAGGACGAAAAGAGATCCTTTTTTAACACTTGAAAAAAATAAAGAAAAAGCATATTTTATTATGGGCAATATGACTCCAGTAATAAAAATGCTTCAGTATGTTGAAGATCTAACTACTTTTTTACCATAGTAGGTAAAACAATAAATCAGGTTAATCCTGTTTAATTTAATGAATACTGAAATATTTATCAACTAATTTTAGAATCAAATAATTATATATTGGATTTTGCAGATTCTAAAAAAAACCTCTCACTACACTAAATAGGCCAAAACTGTGCAAAAAATGAATACATGTTGCATTTATAATGACAAACTCTCTTTGTCTGTTAATATGCTCTATCCAGAACTACTTGAGTGGCAGAATTTTAGCTTAACCTGGTTCAAATCCTGTGAGAAGAAGAAGAAAAAAGGTCTTCTTAACCCTTTTTGTTATCCGATTGTTAAACAGGTAATGGAAGCAAATGTAAAAAAAAGGCGACACATATTACTTAAAGTAGATCTTAAAGAGTTTCTATGTCTTTAATGCTTAATATACATGAGGGGAGCTGTGTCTTTCTTGTATATTTGTTAGTAGTCAGGGGGTCAGACATGGGAGGAGACTTGCAGAAGCAATAGTTTTCCCAACAAATGCTCCTGTATATACATCCACAGGCACAGGGGCCAAAACATCACTAACTACTTATAACCACCTGATGATGCAACATTTCAAAATGGTAATAAGTAGAGATTTTCTAGCTATCTAAATGAACTGGATTTTATCGGCTTTTTAAATAATTTTCAACAGTTTCTACCCTCAGCTTGAGCAAGTGTGTTTAAAAAACACTGATAGACAAATGTGTCACGCTTTTTTTTTTCCACATTTTTAAATTGCATTATAGCTCACCACCATTTCTGTATATCTTTTCTTTTACAATATAATTTCCTAGCTATCTAACTCTAAAGCACCTAACATAACTTTGACTTGCTGTCATACAACTGTAATGTCTGTGCATTACTAAGACAAAATTTGATATAAACTTTAGACATGTACCATCCACAGACTCAGAGGGAGCAGTTCCCATGTGAATGACCTGCATCTCCTTTCTTCCTGTTTCTATTTTATTCTTTTTATCTAATCAGTGCCAGAAAGAGCCCAAAACAAAATGTTCTTTTCAGGATTTTAAAAACATGATAATTCTTGATAATCTAAAACAGTTCAAGACAGCGTTTCCTTAATGCCACCTCTTGCATAGTAAGTAACTTCTGTTTAAATTATTTATAATGGTGAGATTCTACACGGCAAGTTGAACAAATAAATACTGACCTCTGCTTTAAAGGATGTAGAATACTTCAGGTTTAACCAGTTAGGCCAAACAAATACCTCTAAAAACTACAGATGATCAAAAGTGGTAATAAGGTGTTAGAAACTGTGAAATAACCATTTAGATTAAAGCTGAATTAGAAACTTTCTTCAAAATAACAGCCAATCTTTTTACCTCAAAGAGGTAGATTGTGCACAACACAGAAGGACACCTGATTCCCACAAATTTAACATAAAAAAAAGAATACATGTGCAGAAACAGAGACTACAGGCATCTATTATTAGTATTAAAATCTAAGATACTGGACCATAGTCAGACTGGGAGGAAAATATCTCAAAGGTGACAAATTATATTTGCCTTGTTTCTAAATGTATAAAATGTGACTTCTTAGTGCCAAGAAAATATTTTAAAAAGTACTTGGTAGGGATCCAAATCTTTCTCCCAGCAGCCGGACACTTCCCATCAGGTCCTGAAAGGTGGAGAAGCTGCGGTTGCCACTGTAGGACAAAACCGTCTGAGCATCCACAAAAAGACGAGACAATCTGGGGGGAAACAACAATGTAGGGGATGTTAACTCAGAAAAACTGTTTCCTTATTCTTAACAGCCAACAACTGGTGACTTTTACATCTCAGATATAACCAGACGCAGCAAAATACATTTTCAATTCTGACTCAGATTAGTTGCTTGCTTCTGGTAAGTTAAATAAACAAATAGATCAGCTTAATGTTAGTCTTAAAAAAACACTGATAACGAAGGGCTAGGAGATATTGCAGAAAATGTAATCAAAATGTTTTTTTAAGCCACCATTATCCTCATCTTGATTTCATCCTGTACTTTCTATGTTTAAAATTTATCTTTGCCACAACACAAAAAGTTTGAAACATTAGTAAAAACAATCCGCCTTTCCATTATTGGTTAAACTGGAAAAGTATGTTGAAGTGTACTTTATACAAATATACATACCAGGGCTGAAATAATTAATCTGTGAGGCACAAGCAGATATACAGAAAGAAGCACAGATACCAGAGCTCTATTAAATATTCACTGCTTATTTAGGACCTCTATTGAGTTCAACCTGTATTACTCTTTGAAAAAAAACAATTTAGAACCAAACAACATTGAATCAGCATATTTTCTGCTTCCTCTTACAACATAGTGAGCAAAAGAGGAAAAATAGCCAATTTTTTTTTTCTTCTCTTTTTTTAAAAGGGAGCCTATAAATTATTTTGAATCTTTTAAGGTAAAAACTTTATTTTAATTTTGTAATTAAGTACAATGTAGAACCTGTACTTTGATATTTTTACTTAAGTAAAGGAGTTCAATCTGTACTTTTACTTTTAGCAAAGTCATTTTTCACACAAGTATCAGGACTTTTATTTAAGTGAAGAATATGTGATCTTTTTGCACCTCTGTTTAGAAATTAAGAGTTAAATCTGACTGGTTATTTAAAAAAAAAAAACATTTTAATTTCAGATGTCAAAGAACAAGAGCAACACTATTAGTTAATTGTACTCTTTCTACATAAATAGTTATTTATCAATCTAAAGGAACAAGGCACCAATGGAGACAAAGTCCCTAAAAACTGCTACAATGCTTTCCCGTTTTACAAGGACTATATTTTATGTATTATAATCTGCTATCAAAGATTATGCCATTTATTTTGGTTTTAACACAACAGAACAGAACATTGTGTTTTCTAAAGCTCTCCTGATAATATAGTTCAAAACAAATAAATCAAGCGATAAGTTAAGTTTAAATCCCAAACAACTTAAAGATAAGAAAACTGTGTCATCTGTTCTACCCACATCGAGTTGTCAAAGTTTCCCACTTGGCCCGGTGTTTCCCCCGGCGTTGGGCTGTGGAAGCAGGGATTATTGATGTTGCAGATGATGCTTTGAATCCAGGGAACAGTGCCTACCGACGGCAAGGCTTTGTTTGGGAAGTGACCTGCAAGTAGGTCAAAGAGAAAAACATTTAGGATGCACAGATACGGCACAAGACAGCTCTTTAGTACAATCCACCGAAGCCAGAGGAGTAAAGATCATAACACCAACTCAAGGTAGCATCATGTGAACAAAGCAGCAACAACTTTCGGACAAGATTCTTCAGATACATAAGAGACAAAACCAACCACCAAACTTTGTTTTTATGTTGTTTTTTTGTTTTTACATTTAAAGTTACAACCACAAACCCCAAAGTGTTTTATCTGGCTTGTATATAAAAATTCAAAATAGTGGATGATTTGTAAGGTGGGAGAAAAGGGATGAAACAAATCTAAAACCAGGCTGGATGGGCACAGCTTAATTTTGGCCAACTCTTTCTTGCAGTTCACTGATACGTATTCAATCTGGATGATGTGTCTGAAAATTCATAGTGTGCAAGTCTTTTGAAGATCCCGATGGAGGATGAACCTCTCAGTTTTAAATCTTAAACAGGTTTTCTTTCAGGTTTGCCTTTATTTAGCTCAGGGCAGTCCAAAGAGCCTCTGTCCTGAGGGTTTTGGAGGTTTCCCTGCTTAGAATAAGATGATTTTGATGACTGCAGTTCAGCAAAAGCCTGTTTATCAGCTATCGATGGAAATTATCTGTGATAAAGCAGGGAAACCTCTAAAACCTGCAGGACAGCGGCCCTCAAGGGCCGACTTTGGGTGGCCCGGATTTAGCTTCATCCATCTTCCCAACAACTCTGACCCGTTTGGTTGCTCCTGCTGAAGCGAAGCATTCACACAGCCTGATATTGCAAACATGGTTTATGGGGGAAATGTTTCATCTTGTTTGCTGCAACGTTCGTTTTTCAGCTCATAAACATCAAATGTATCGGGGGGAAAAAAGTTTAAATTGGTGTCATTTGACCAGAGGGACTTCCAAAGGGACCTCTTAGGGCTTTTCTTAAGGACAATTGCACTCTTCCCAAAAGAACAGATTGATGGTCCACATAACTGATAGCTGCTTTTCCCTTCTAAGCTGTGGATCTCTAGCCACTTCAGATTAAACATCAACATCTTGGCAGCTTCCTCTTGAAATTTTATAAGACAAATTATGAAAAATACGTTTTTAGATATATATAAAGACCGGATATGAATAAATATTATTGTATATGGTATGTTATTAATTGTTAGGGTATGGTTTATATTCATTCATAAAGTAGCTGTTTTTTCTTTTATGATGTTTGAAAGGGGACAGGTACTTTAAGCCTTTTTACTCTTCCTAATATGTTTATGTTCATTTAAAAAAAGGGGGAAAAAAATATTTTTCATATTGTTTATTTAGAAAAAGAAGAGAAAAAAACACATTGTTATTATATGACATAAATGAATACATAACTAAATAAATAATATAGTAACAGCAATGCTCTCCATTAAGTTCATGTTAATGGCATAAAATATGTTCTACTTTGTTTTGTTCCTCCCATAAATTTAAATAAAACGGAAAAGTTTGTGAATGCAATAGAAGAAAATGTGGAAAAGTTTAAGTGGTAAAAATACCTTTGCAAATCATAAAGTCTCTCTTGATTAGAGATCAAGTCTCAAGAGATTTTCCTGTCTAAATAAAGAATAAAAAAAGAAAAGAAAATCTATATCCTTCCATATTAAGCAAGCATAGGTCAGCAGTAAATTTAAACAGCAGGCAAATAAAAAAAGAAGAATTCTAACTGCAATAGAAGACTTTTTTCCTTCTGCTGAGATAAAGTTATGAGAGACACCTTGTTCATTGTTTTCTTATGTGACCGCATCACATGTGCAGCCTAATTCTACTGAGAAAACCTGTCACAGAGGGTCGTTAACACTGCAGGGAAACAAAGACTAGTGCAAGGCACCAACACCACTCTGAGTCAGTTAATCTTGATTAACTTGATGGCGTAAGACCACTGCGAGGTGTGTGGGTGTGTGTTTGTTTAAAAACACATGAAGAACAATAGATGACTTACATTGGCCTTGTTTGTAAGGAGGGTGGGAATGACGAACAGAGATGAGGATGACAAAAAGGAAGAGCGGCCAGAGGAGCTCAATTATCAGCTGGATCTGCAGGGAATTTACACATATTCAGGATTATTAACTTAGTAATCACAAAGAATTTACACTCACAATTAGAAATTAACCTAAAATCTGACATGTGACCACAATCAGTTAATTCTATTTTGTACTTATAGTAAGATTAACATTAAATATATAGCTGATTATTATCTAATGCTCTTTCAAATCACCGGGTGATGTAGCTTCTTCCGCTACTATAAATAGCTAGTGATCAATTGGAGCAAAATCTCTTCTTAACATTTCAGAAAACAAATAAAGACTTTAATTTAAAACATAACATACTGTTTTTTCTCAAATATCAACTTAGATACAGTTCTTATTTTATTAACAGTCAAATACAAATACCAGGTCAGAGCTTTATATCAAATGAATGTATTTTTGTAAACACTTTTAAGGGACGGTGCTGAAATGTAACTTTAAATGTGTCCTAATAAAAAGAAAATAATGTCACAATCTACACACTTTAATATTAGAGTATGAAAGATAAGCATGTAAGGACCTTGTTTCTCCTGCGGTATGTGATGTTTTTCCACAGGAGGAGGTAGAGCTGCCTGAAAAACCCCATAGCTCCCTGTTGTTACCGGGCCATGATGTTCACCTGCAAAAAAAACACAATCTGATTCCAGAATGGGAAAAGATGATAATCAATCATGCGTGCTTTGTGTTGGATATATGATCTTTCAAATTCTCCACTCATAATATATATATAGGTCAAGTAAAGGAATATTAAAAAAAATAAAACCACAAACAAGAAAACAGAGGTGATGTTTGAAAGAAAATGACTGATTCCCTTCATTTTTTTTTTTATCTAATCTTTTCCTTGACATGAAGGAGAATAGAAAAAAAGAAAGGCTTTGTAGTTTTTAACCTGGTGTGCTTGTGGAGTAAAGGTTGTGTTTCCTGCCTGCTGCTTTCTGCTCAGCACAGACAATCCCTTTGCTTGATCCTGAAATCCTCCTGATCCTAACAGCTTACCTTCTTCTACCAGAAGACACTTACTTTCACCCTACTATGCTTTTTATCAAGCTCTGGTTAACAAATATCAGTTGTTGTGTTCTTGCCCTGCTAAAAAAATGATTGCTTAAACTTATTTCCTATGCAAATCATCCCCAAAGTATACATCCGGAAGTCACTACATGTAAAGGATTTAGTACTTAAAGCTACTAAACGTCTCATATTTAAAACCCCCTATGGTCTAAAACTCAAACATTAACATTGATAATATTTAGTTATTATACAATGAATGGACGTCAGTTGATAAAATAAGCTGTGCTCAAGACAATGTAAAGATATTTGTCATTTATTTAAACGGAAATAAAAATACAACTATGCTATAACAGCCGTTTACAATGTGAGTAAAAAATAATTACCTCGGTAAATGATAAACTCGGAAGCAAAACAGTAAATTCTTGATTGGGTAACGCTAGCTTCCCCTTCCTAGCTTCTCATAGTGATGTCTCCGGATTTAGAGATTCATTCCGAAGGCAGTTTAAAATAATAACAATAATTTAAAAACATCGTCCAATGTGTAAACCTATCCGTAAATGCTGGATAAACTCTAAAATCTCATGAACAGCAACACATACTGGGTAGCTTGACTTTGACTTCACAGTGTTTCTGTCAGCAGGTGGGAGCTGGTGAGGCCCGCCCACCGGCGAAACTGATTGGTCGGCTTTCTTTCGGGGGCCGTGGCAAAATAAACCGGTTAAGAATCCGATTGGTTAAAATTTATGATTTCGTAACCCTAGGAAACTCGTTAAGCCAATGATTGCGTAGGAGTGGATTTATTGGGAATATCTTTAGTAATCAGTTTACAGATGTGCTAAATATGGAAATTATACCCAAGTAAAAGAAAAGCTACAACATATTTCTTCTTAGGTAAGAATAAAAAGCAGTCATTTGAAGATTACGAGTGACAGTAAAATATTTGGTAAAAAAAAATGCAGTTTAAATACAGAGTACTAGAATGATAAGTGAATCTGATTATATTTATAAAAAGAATGTTATGGAAACAAAACAGTATTGAGAAAATGAAGAAATAAACTACATTATAAAATGACAAATCTAAGCAGTGGAAATCTTTCCAAATCAAAGTTTTTCACATCCATTATTTTTCAGAAGGTAATGTAGAACGTACAGTACAGCTACTCCTATAATTAAATATTTTTTCATAAAGTTACTGAAGTAAATATATGTTAACCATTCTAAATACAGCAAAATAAACACAGTGTGGCTTGATAATATAGTTGCAAGCTCTATTTTTTTTTTATCCCAAAGCTATAACACACAATCACAACATATTTCTTGTTCTCAGCATTGTATATTAACTGTTGGATTATGTAATTTACTGTTGCTAATTCAATTGTTCTAAGCTATTGTGCTGATCACTGAAGTGTAGAGGATATCATATCAGCCATAAAATTACTGTACCACAAAGTATTTTGCAGTTGATGGTGTTATAATTAAGTAAAAGCCTTTGGTAAAGTCAGCAACTCGGCCACATAAAATAACAGAGGGATCCACTGATACTGAGACAGAGAGGAAAGGTTAATGTAGAATTAGTGTCTACAGACCTACAAACTTCACATGACCTTCAGGTTAGCTCTGATTCAGCGGATAGGTTTGGGGTTTGCGAGACGCCAGATTTGAGTTTCTGACAACCAAGTAGAATGTTTACCTTTCAGAAGCTGAGTTCAGCTTCTTGATTTAATGATCTCTTAAAGCTGCAGAATGCAAAGACATTGTGGAAGTCTTTTACACTTTATTCATCGAGGCAGTTACATGACTGTGCATCGGTGAAAAAACAGCCTTCAAGCTGGTCTGGTGGTAGGAAACTTGACTGACTTTTAAAAAAAATAATGACCTCAAGTAATGAGTGAATTTATAGGGGAGTGGCGCCCTTGTGGTTAGGGCATAGGACTTGGAACCTCAGGGCTTGTGAGTCCAAGACCCACTCTCACAGACTCCCACTCTGGGTCTCTGAGTAAGACCCTTAACCCCTGGGAGCTGCACAGTGGCAGCCCAGAGCTCCCCAAAGGGGAGGGGTTTAATACAGAGAGTTAATTTCTCCATTGTGAAATCAATAAAGTTACATTTATTAAGTTATGGAGCACCTTCAGGATGAATTAAGAGTGAGAACTGCGAAACAGGTTATTCTATCCAACATCAGTCCTGGGCTACTATAAGGAATTTTTGAAAGAATAATCAAAGAATCCCATGAACTATTCTATACATTGTGAAATACTTTCCAAGATGAGCGATAAAGTTGGTATGTATTCAGAGGATGTGCATAGACTGCATATTAAATCTCATGAAAGTTCCTATGTGTGTAAATGCCCTAGTGAGTATATAGAAAGCCGAAGGGATCAAGAAGATAACCTTTATATTCTTTATTTGTTCGAGCATTCACAGATTCTCAAAAGTTATATTAATAAACATTTTATTGAGCATCCATATCAGCATGAAACATACAAACATATTTATATCTCTATGAAATTAGGCATTGACCTTAAATCGAGGAAAGACCCGACACGTTAGTGAAACACTGCACGAAGACGCAATCTTCACTAACGTTTGTGATGGGTAGACAGCTGATGTGCATAAAAACATGATGAACAGGATGTCACACTAAAACACTCAGACCTTTATCTTGATTCAATTAGGTCACTTCTTCAAGTAGGTTTATAAAAGATTTCCTCAGAAAGCATGTAAGGCTGGAAGACTCAGGCGCACTTTACCTGATTATTCTTACCATTGTCTAAGTTGATGGAGTGAGCATCCAAGTTAAAAAAAACAAAAAAATTACCCATTCTAAAAAATCTAATAAATAAAAACAATTAAATCCTCTAACTCTTATATTTTAAATATTGCTGTCATATTAAAATATCAAAGACACAGCTAGTCTGATTTGTTGAACAGTGGCTGCACTATGACAACAGATGTGCGATTCAAATTGCATATTATATAGTTTGGCGGAAGCTTATGTAGCTTAAACACTTCGATAAAACATCCTTGTGAAGCAGGAGGAGTGCTCAAAGAAACACCGGCTGCTCCTGTCCCGTTAGCAGTCGATACGTTGAAGCAGGCATCGTCTTCAAATGAATCTGTCAAGAAACAGGAAAATTCACTGAATTTTTACAATACTCCAGATGTCAAGATCCGTTATGTAGCGCTATATTCATGCAGACCGTTTCACCTGAGCTTTTAATGGACACTGACCTCTCCAACCGCATTTGTCAGGATCTGGATGATCTTGTCGTGGGAAGTAGCAACAACACTTTGCCCATTGATTTCAATGATGCGGTGTCCAACACGGATCCCCCCTCTCTCTGCGATACCCCCTCTCATCAGACTGCAAATCTGCAAACATTTGACAAAAGTTGTAAGATTTCCTAAAAACAAAAGGAACCGTAAATGAAAGAGTAAATGCTTTATCTGTTCCCAATCGTCTACTGCTCCACAAAAGAGAGCAACAAAAAGTTGGATAGACCGGGATATAAAAAAAAAAATTGCAAAATGACTTACAATGCCATCGTCCACGCTGAAGCCAAGCTGATACTTGGGATCGGGTCTCTTTATGATCGCCATGGTGACTGGAGGGCAGTGGACGATGCTGAGCTTCACATACTTTTGGCTCTTAAGGTCCTTGTTAAAAAGAAAATAATATATAATAATAATAAATGTAATATACAATAAATCTGATCTATGTGCTAAATATTCTTTGCTAATGGCAATAAATATAGAAAGAAATTAAAACAGTACAAAAAATGAAGAACAAATCACTGCTAACAGTGTTTAAATACTGCTGTTAGACTCTCCAATAGGCAAACAGAATCTGGGTGGCAAGTCAGACAAGAAGCCTTTATAAAGACTAAATAATTAATCAACAGAGTACTGCAGAGCCGGGATCTCCCACTGGATGAAGCCCTGGAGTTGAGATTTGTCAAGGAAATGCCTGGTGGTTGGGTTCCTCTTCCTAGGAACTATCCAGGCCAAGCATGGATATAACCCATCCTCAGGGATTCCATCAATTTACTGGGGGGGTTCAACACCCATGTGGAAAAGACAGTGATATGTGGAGGGGCGTGGTCAGGAGGATTAGACCCACAGCTCTGAACTTGAGATGCGTTTCATTATTGGACTTCTGTGCAGGCTATAGTTTGTCTATAATGAAGACAATGTTCAAGCATGAGGATGTCCATCAGTACACTTTACACCAGGACACTGTAGACCGGAGGTTGATGATCGATTGACATTGTAATCATATCTTCTGACGGTCAGACATATGCCTTGGAGACTCAGGTGAAGAGAGGGGTGTAGCTGTCCACTGATCACCACCGGGTGAAGATACGCTGGAGGAGGAGTTGGAAAGCCCCGGCAGGCCTATCTAGGTAGTGAGGTCTGCTGGGAAGGTCTAGTGGAGTGTCCAGGAGGGACGTATTCAACTCCCTTCTCTGAGAGGGGAGGCAGTAGCCTGGGTGCCATTCCGAACTTAGTCCCGCCCACAACGTTTGAGGTCGGGAAGTTCGGTCTGGCATTGCTCAATAGTAGCGCGAGTATGCTCGCCCAATATCTGGTTGGGCCAATCAAATTGTCAGGGCGGGCTTTATACGATGATGGACAGATGATCAACAGTAACGTAATCAACCACGTCACCAAAGCGCGCTTGGGTGACAACAACAATGGCTGCCGCTGGAGAGTTGAGGTGTGTAGATTCTGCTATTAGGTCTGTTCTAGAAGATATCGACAGCAAATTTATTTTAAAAGAGGAACAGAGAAACAGAGAACAGGCATTTGTTGAAAAGAAAGATATTTTTGGCGTCCTTCCTACGGGATTCGGCAAAAGTTTAATTTATCGGCTGGCTCCCTTGGTCGCTTAACATATGTCACGCACTCCGTTGCTCTTATTGGTTGTAGGTCTATCCAATTGAGTGCAGAGGCATTTTTTTCCCTGGTTCGTTCGAAACACGCCCCATAATCACAGCTCTATGGAGCAGTATCAGACTCATATTCTGACTAGAATTGAGTAAGACTACGTCAGGCTAGGGAGGCAGAGCTTCACTAACACCATTTTTAGTGGGATTGGGGAGCAGCTAACTCTGATTGAAGACATTGTTGGTTAGAGGAAGAAATACTTTTAAGATCTCCCAAAGTAGAATGGCAGCTTGGGGTTGGACTTTTTCCATCACCCAGGCCTCAGTCATTTGGCAGGTCAAAACTCGTGGCTTTGGAGGTGGATGAAATTTGTCCTAACTGGCTCATTGATTTAACAACCCTAAGCCTAACTACACAGGAGTAGGAACGCCCACACAGTCCTAGTTATGTGTCAGTGCATGAGATGACCCAGGACACACTGGAGGGACCACGTCTCTTGGCTTCTCCTTGAACAGCTCGGCTTCCAATAAAGGAGCTACAAGAGGTTTCTTGAGAGAGGAAAATCTAAGAGTCTCTGCTGAGACTAATGCCCCTCCCCAACCCGTTCCAGGATAGAGTGGAGATGGTAAGTGGTAAGTACAACTACCAGTATGATAAAATATTAGATTTTTCTCTCAAACTGAGGTCTAAATTTGTCTTTAAGATGAAAGACAAGACTCGATATACACATTCATTCTCGGCTCAAAGCAGAACCTATTACCAAATCAAGAATATTTGCATGACAGTGCCACCTAGAGCACTGATGAAACAAGGACAGGTAGAAAAGAAACCATTAGAGAAACCTTTCTTTTTTATAAATGTTGCATTAAAAAGCCAAGTTACTTCTCATGACCAGCTTGGGTCTAGGTCTATTCTTACCCGGAGGATGTTTTGGCAGGTGGTGATGGGCAGACCGACTAAGCTGGTTCCATTGACAGACATGATGCGATCACCAATGCTGAGCTCACCACAGCGCTCTGCTGGACCCCCATGGAGAAGGTTGGCCACCACCACAGTGGGCAGGATGGAGCCCCAACCCGACTCCACCACGGCCAGCCCCAGGATCTCGCCAGCAGCCTTAGTGATAGCTATCTGAACCACAAACACACACATTTGATCACTATTAACAATGAACATTTACATATATTTAAATATATTCTGTTTTTCGTGATCTGCCATAGCAGCATATTCATATTCGTATTTCATGTACTTTAAGCTACAAGTGGGACTCCCCGAGGATGCAGCTTTTAAATCATCTGTTATTTAGCTGAGCCACTAATTTTAGATGTGACATCATAACAGCCACTGTCTGTCCAGTAAAATGAGTCAACGTCACCTATTTGCCACCATCTTGGTAGTCCATCACTCCAATAAAGGACTAAATTACGTTTAATTTCCCTGCTTCTTTAGGGCTAACTGGCCCCGATTTCGCCAATACTGGAGTATTTCTATCCCAGTTCAAACTAAACTGGGATATCACTTTATTATTTCATAGGTTATTGGTTTCAGTTTTATTATTTCTATATAGTCACTAATTATTTTTGTTTAATAGTTTTTCTCATTATTTCCATTTTTATCTATTAGTTGGGACGGGTGACATTAGTTTGGTTAAAGAGTTTCTTGAGTTAATTATTTTGAAGTTCAGTTTCCCTTTTTTCCTTGTATCTTGTTGAGATTTTTTTCCTCGTTTTTATCCTGTATACATCTGCAATATTTACTATTGAGAATGCAAGTTCTAGATGTATTTCTCCATGTGTGGCTCTATATCACCACACCTCACCAGGCAGGTTTTTATAAGACAATAAGCAACTGCCTGAGGGCTGCAGGCTTGTTGTTCCCTAATAATCTGGTGGTGACCCTCTTTACTGGATTTCATTAAAATCACTATATTTTTTATTAACCTTTGTCTTTTAATAATTATTCATATCTAATCAAACCTATTTTTTCACAAAATATTAAAGATTCGATTATAATACATTTAGACTATTGTTTCATGATATTAAACAAAATACTAAATTAAAAGATGATAAACGGGTAAAAAATAAACAGGAATGAACTATGAAACAAAAGTTTTTATAACTTAGAAGCCATATTTACTTTAAATACAAAGATTACCACCTTCCCTTTAATTGACAAATGACAGTATTTTATGGTTTTAAATTCATATTGTCAGCATTCACGGCAGCTTTCTGAAGGATTATGTTGTAATCCACAAACTGCAGTTTGTTCTTATTGGCATTATATGTGATTGACCAACACAAAGCAGTGCATAATATGCAAATGGAAAACCTGGAAAAGAGCAATAATCAAAAAGGCTGTTGGTAACATTGGAGGAGCTGCACTGATTTAATAGAAAAATCTCTTGATAAAGGTCAACCATAGGTCCTATAATAATGTCAAAAATTCACTAAAATCTAGAATTTAATACCTACAACTGAGAGAGAAATAATTCTGACAGATAAATGAATTCTACTTAAATCTAACAATATAGCTTGTTTATTAACCCAACCAATGCAATTTGTTACCTACCAAAATACATGAATTCTTTAAACATGTAAAAGTTAAAAAATGGGTCAATATAGATTAAGTCGGATCATAAAGCTTTAATTATTTCACTCACCTCTCGAAGGTTCTGAGAGTCTGAGAAGTGGGCCAGGTCTCCGTTGTAGAGTTCTTGGCTATCCAGGTAGTTGCTGTATTCGCCTGGTTTCAGATCGCTTGCCTTGATGCCATTGGTCTGAAGGAACTGCTGGTAGGCCACTCCAAAAGCCTGTCCAATCGCCTGAGCTATGACCTGAGCCTTTAAGAGGAGGCGGGAAGAAAGAGGCAAATGAGGACCAAAGCAGGTCCAATGTTTATACGTCCAAGAAGATGGTAGATCAGTGAAGAATGAAAAATAAAATCCCTTTAACACTCAAATGTCATTAAAAACACAGTCAAGCCCAAACACTTCCCTTTTAAAACTGAAAGAAACAAAAACTTCAACAAACTTTTCAGGTAAAATGTGAAATAAATGACAGAAGCCATTTTTCCAGGGGGTCTTAAAATTCCCACAGCTACCATCTTGCTGACAGAAATTAATTGTTTCCATTTATGGGAAAATAGGACAAGAGCCAGAACATTTGATTCTCAGAGGATCAAAAACTGAGCTTCACTGCGCAGAGCAGGAGCTGCTATACAATACCTGCATACAATGTTCTGCTAAATCTTACAATGAGTAACATAACTGTTCAAACAACTGGATAGACTCACATCCTCAGAGGAGAACACATGGCAGATCATCAGGCACTTCTTTTGAGATGAAGCGTGGGATGCAGCCTCCCCATCCTGTCCTTTAAGTTTCCTCCGTGCCATTAGGACCACAATGTCCCCAATGTCTGCTATGTAAGAAATCGTCTGCAGAGAGTGATCCATCATAGCTTCCTAAGAGGAAACAAAACATGAGTTGGGCCTGACCCGAGTATCAGTCAACTATTTATCAAGGTACTCTTATCAGAGGTCAGCTACCTTTAGAACCCTGCGAGCAGGTTTTAACTTTAGCCCATGTAAACAAAATTTGTTTAGATCCAAAAACACACTTTAGAAACAGTATAGCCTAATTTTACAATATAGGATATGTGCTTTGATTCTCCATTGGAAAAAAAAAAAACTAAATTGGATTATTGTTTTTATGTTTGAATAATAAAAGACTAAAATATTTTTTAATAGATTGTTCAAATATTAAAGAAATGGACATCCAAAAAAAACATGCAGATCACAACATAAACATAAAAAAGCTCCTTAAAATGATAGGGTAAAACCAGTTTTAAGGCCAGCATTAATTTATTATCTTTGCACTTTTAAATAAATGCTCAGACCGCCATCATTGTTTTCCAATAGCCACTCACAGCTGTGTTTCTGATGTTTAGTTCAGGTCTATGTTATTACAAGGCCTGTGAATTTGGTTACACAGGTGGTAGCTCCTATCAAGGCAGCGTTTATTCCTGTGGCTTTTTCATCTACTGGCACCATTTTATTCCACTCAACGTTTCATTAAGATTGTTGGATACAGCACATCAGGAACAGCAAGCATTTTTAGAAGCATCCTTATTATGGCGACCATGACTGTCTGCGGCACAGCTGCCTCAAAAGCCGTCTTCCCCGTAAATATGGCGGCCATATCATATGACTTCTGTGTCTGAGTCCTTTCTCAATTGATTGTACGCAATGTTCCTGAGAAACATTTAATGTAGGTTAAAATAATAACTAATAATAAAAATTAAAAAAAGAGTTGATACACGCCCCTTCTAGATAATAAATCTATATAATAGAAATATCACTTTTTCAATAATATTTATTAAATAAATTAGTGCTTTTAGGATCTTTTAATTTACTGAGCTTAACCTTTCTAGAGAAGGTGAAAACTAAGAGAAGAAAAAGTTGATGCCTGTAGTCATAAACCTCCATACCTGTGTGTCAGCTGTGAGCACTTTGATTCGTTTAGTGGAGATGAACAGATCCACTTCAGTCATTGGCTGAGACTCTCCCTCTGGAGCCTACAAGCAAACACAACACAATCTAATCCGGAACCATCAAAACTGGTCTGATTATCACTGCAAACCCATTCATTTCTAATAGGCCACACTAGAGGGATCTAAAACAACACCAAGTAAAATGATTTTCATTGTTTTGTTGCTTTTTTTAATCACTTACCTTTATCCTATCAACAGCCTCCTGAGCCTGGGTCATGCGAGCGTTTGTGGAAGGGTTCCTGTCTGATTTGATCTGAGTGGAGCCCAGGTACTTGGCACCAAAGATGACTCCGTCCAACAGGTCCTCTGGGTCACAAGGACCAGGAACTTAAAAAAAAAAGGAGAACTTCATATGTTAAACTATTCAGAACACTATTAAGATCTTAAAAGTGTAAGAACAAAAGTAAGTTAATTCACCATCTTTATATGAGGGGGTGTCATCAGCAGCCTATAAAAGATCAAATTAGATTCACTTTAAAATCACAAGTCTGACGGGTTTGAGCATCAAAATAAAGATCGGCTTTTGAGCAGAGAATTTACCAGATCAATGAAATTAGATATTAACCATGCAAACAGTTCTTTTAATTAACCCGAGGTTGAGAATCATTTACTAATTAAAGTATTTTTTACATAAGACACAAAAACACATCTGAAAATGGGTTAATCTATGGGCAATAACTAATTGATTGTTTGTTTTATATCATTTTTACACTAACCTCTTCACCATCTGCTCCTGACTCCTCCTCTGGCGGCTCCTCTCCAACCTTCATCCATACAGGCTCAGGGTATTCATCGTCAGGCAGAGATGTGATGGAGTCTTCTCTGTGCCGCTGGCAACTGGAGCTTTGCCTCCAGCATCTCGGAGAGTCCGCCTGGCCATAGGAAACTGGGAGTACACCGTCCCTCTGACCAAAGTGGGCCTGAAGGGAAGGATGGGGCGCAGAAGTGATGGCTGTGCACTGCAGCAGTCCAAGCAGATCTCTATGGTGGCTTTCAGAGAAAAGCAGTCCTGTTGCTTCAGTATTATTCGTTAGCATGGAGTGGCGGCAGACTTCCTGTTCAGACAGGCTGGAATAGTGACAGCCATGGGGTTCTTTGTCCATCATCTGAAGCTGGCTGAGCAAAGCCTGAATATGGCTGTGATCCTCATCACCTGATTTCCTGTTGGAATCCTCAGTCTCTTCTTTACCAACCTCCTTCTCAATATCTCTTAAAATCTCATGGGTCATTTCCTCTCCAGCAGGAGCACCCCCAGCTTCTTCTTTAACTTCTAAATCCTGACATGAATCTGCTGCATTTCCTAGAAGCACCTGTTGGTACGACTGGACTGCGGTCAACGAGTCTCCTCCAATCAACGGGGGAGATCCTGAGTCTTCAGGACTGGTCAAATCCAGAAGTTCAGCAGAGGGGGGATCTCTGGGGTCTTCCAGATCATGAGCAGAAGCTGCCTCACTGGAAGAGTCTGACCTCCAGTCCAGAGGAGGAGGCTCAATCAGACTGTAGACATCAAGATCCTCCACCCCTGGAGGCCCACCAACTTCCCCTCCTGAGGCTCCAGGAATAACAGTGTCAGAATCAGACATTGGGGCAGCTGCATACGAACATGCAGGCTGATCAGCCAGGAAGCAGTCAGAGTCCATCTTGTTTCACGAGGAGGATGGCATAACAGAGCAGAATCCTGGCTCTGATCACAATGTGGCAGAATTATCTGGAAGGGTCCCTGGAAAGCAATATTTAGTTTATTTCAAGGTAAGTTTACCCCACATACTATGGTAAATATGTCATTACATTTACAATAAATGTTGTAAAGGGAAAGAATGAAGATGTATGTTTGTGTACATTTTTAATTGAAATACTGCAATAACCTAAATTAGTATTATATCTAAATGAATCTGTATAACATTTGTTATAGAACAGCATTACTATCTGTAGCTGTTACCTGTTTGGGTCTATAGGTAATGGCTATGAAAGTAACCAATAATCAATGGCTTCACTGTAAAATCACAACTAAATAAACACTGTAGGTCTGTGATAAGACATATTTTATAATTGTAAAGAAAATTTAAAATAAGTTCATTAAAAACAAGCAATAAATGGTGATTTTAAATCTACAACCAGCCCAATGTTAGCCAATTAGCAGTTTAACTAGCTCCAAGCTAACTCTTTCGTTTTTGCAGTAATTGTCAGACGTTGAACTAAAGAGCAAAAAGCACTTTAAGCACTTTAAACTGTTATAAAGGCGGGTTCTCACCGAATGCTGAAAATATTTCCTCTTTTCTTCTGATAGAGACAACTTTGGCTGCCACGACAGAAGAGTTGACGTGTTTAGGAATTTGAACCCTCTCTAAAACTTCTTTTAAGATTTTTTTCGTCATACTATTAACGCAAGCGATAAAAATGGCGATTTAACGGAGAAAGTGCGCATTATACTTTAATGGGGTGAACCTATTTGACTTTTTCAAGCTAGTGCTGCTGTCGAGTTACTGCTTTTATTTATTGGCTGCCACTCGTCATGTGGCGTTCAATTACCCCCCGTAAATCCCGGAATCATCCTTACAAATTCGGTCTCCTTACACATTTTTTACATGTATGGAAGGAAATTTTCATAGAAAACCACACAGATTTGTTTATTTATTTTAAAAAAATCTAACAAAATACATAAACTGTATTTTAGCGTTTATTTTACTGCAGACAGACTTTTTATTACCGAGTTCTTTTAAAAGCAACAGTCGCATACGTCAGCTTCCCTGCTTACCAGCCCCGATTAATCGAGCGTATAAATCTCGATTAGGAAAGTCAGAATTTTTTTTTTTATTGCTGCTTCTAGTTTATTTTGTTTGTTTTTTGGTTTGTTCGTTTGTCTGTGTATGTGTTTATTTTAAATAATCCATATCTTTTGGGAAAATGTAAAAATTATAAAATACTGCAGCTTTTCTTCAGTTTGAAACACATCCAAGGAGTCACAAATGGGAGGGTTATCACAGATCCTTCCTCCCAGCAGCTGTAAGACATATAACAATCACTGTTCCTATTAACCTCAACAACTTGTTACATTCATGCTGATTTTGCAGTTTCTCTCTTAGTCAGTTAAACAACATGCTGCTGTCATTTTGCACATCTTTGATGTTGCGGCTATTTTCAAATATCCATTACTGTAAAAATGTCCATAGTTAGATATTGGTTATTTATTCTCCAGGTGCACAGTATTTATATTGTTAAAACACTTTACAATACAGTATTTTTTAACTCTTCACTGTTATTCTTATACATTTTCTAAGGTCAACATTTTTGTGACCATTTTTTCTATAATCTTTTTGCAGCCTTAATACCACAGTTTTTATTCTATTCTATTCTATTCTAAATGAAACCAACACAATTGGTATTTTAATTTTATCTTGTGATTTTATACTTGTGTTTATTTTTAAGGTTGCCTTTTTTATACCTGGCTGGGGGACTACCGATGAAAATTAGCACTCCTTAGCTATCTCGGGTATATTTACATTGTTTTAATGTTGATTAATGTACACTGTCCCCTTTCAAATAAACAATAAATAAATAAACAACATTTAAAACAAGCTTAAGATAAATATCAAGAATTTAATAAGAAGAAACAGGACAGAAATCAAATCCATCTGAGAGCCCCACGGTCAAACTCACTGCTGACCCCAAACAAGCAAAAGTCTGTCAGATGATTCCAAAGGTGTTTAAAACCTAAAATAATTACATTTTTACAGTTAAAAATTATAGAATCACAGTTTGTTTTGTATTTCCTCAGGTTATCTGTGTCTTATTAAAATGTGCTTAATTGCCTGAAACATTAAAGTGCAATCTTTTCATATTTACAGTTAATTCTGCAATTCAAGGAGGGAAATATTTTCACTCACCTCTCCTAAAGTCTAACATGTAGCTGTATGTTTAATAGTCTTCTATGATAAGCTTTAACCTTAACACTGAAATGAACTTGTCATGTAGGTGGATTTAAGTTTGCATTGCAAACAATAAAACAATTCTATTCATCAAAACATATTCTAAGATAAGAAGATATAGACACAGTGTCCCCCTTCGGCAAAATGCTGAAATGGCACGAAAAGATGATGAAACCATGATTGAACCATTATCAGTTAATGATTTAAAAATGTTTCTAAATTGACAAAACTGCTTTAAAAAGTAGATTTTCTAAATGCTATTTTCACATAACCAACATTTCAAATTGCATTTAAGCAAAGGTTAATCTCAGAATGTTAAAAATATTTCTGAAAGACAGCAGAGGGATTTATTCACCTACAGAGACCAATCCAGAAGTCTGCAGCTTTAATAGTCTATTGAGACAGAAATTAATCTAAATAGATACTCTGATCTGATCAAAAACCTGCAAGGACTCATAGGCCGCCTCCTCCTCATTGTGAAGACGACACCGTGCTGTCTGACAGCTCATTGCTGCTGCTATTCATCTGAATCAATCCTATCAGAGAGGAGGTGGTGCCCAGTAAGCCCACCAGCCAGCTGGGGAACCGTTCTGCCCAAAGAAATCCTGGTGGCATCCAGTGAACGGCATTACAGAGATCGGCCATGCTGCTGAGGATGGAGAGCAGCTCCCCTCGTATCTGCCTGTGGAGGTGAGACCGTCTGCAGGAAAGAAAACGCTGATTCAATGGGATTAATGGCTGAAGGGGCTGGAAATTTACTGAATTATATTTTAAAATAGCCTAACTAAAAAAGGTTGACAGACCAATACAACAACACCAGATAACAGTCACTCAGATTGTATATCTAAGCAGAAAAATCTAACTTTTGTATATCTAAGCAGAAAAATCTAACTTTTTACCATGAAAAATCAGCTTACTTTTCTGACTTTGAACTATGTTGGTAATTGATGTGTAACTAGTTGTCTTGTGAGCTGCTGACACAATTCATTACAGCAAATAAAGTACGTTCACTCCAAGTATCTAATATGCAAAGTAAACACCTGCTGCCTCCTCCGCCCCCGTCATGTTTCTTCAGCTTCCGTCTCAGCAGCAGCAGAACGCGAAGGGATCTGAGAAATTCAAATATCAACCAAAAGTCTAATTAGCAGCATGCTTGAATCTTTTCAATATGTTTTTTTTTGTTCAAGATCAAAACTTTTTTATTTGCCATCAAATTTTCCGGGATAATAATTCCTGTGAAAATAATTTTTTGCAGGTTTTCCAAAATCCATAATAAACAGCTTTCACTTTTCGAAAGGAAACTTAATTTGCTGGAGGTTACAGGTTATTTATCAGGTTATTTTTCTTGAGTTTTTTCAAACTTCCACAGTGATCTTGGACTATTTTCCTCTAAAAATATGGTTACTTTACTAAAATAGAACTGAAATTACTTAGGGATTATTATAGACACTGGTCACTCAGTTAATTAAATGTATTCTTAAAGGTAAAGCGCATGATTTCCACAAATTTCTGAAAAGACCCGCCTTCTCCACTTAAAGCACATGCACAACCCTGTACCTGCTCCTGAGAGGGATCACCTGTTAAACAGGTGCAAGAGCGTGCATAAGCTCATTTCTCCTCGTGCACGCTCTGTTTAAAAGTTGCTGTTTGCATCTCTCATACAAGCTTATTTTCCAAAAGAAGATTTAAAATTTTACACTATCTCAGACTCACCAGCGGTAAGTGAAAATGGGGACGAGCACGTAGGACGGCCTTACGTAAACGTATCACCAGAATGATTGACAATTAAGGAGAAGCACTTATTTTATTATGCACACAGAAAAAGAACATCCTCCACTATACCTTTAAGTGAACTGACAGAACTTTTAGGTGGTTTTCTAAAAATTTCCTCTACAGATTAATATGTAGATAGATTAATTTTGGTAACTTTAAGGATACTTTTCAAAGATTTCAGGTTCATGTCTGAAACAAAAACATTCTAGAACCTGAAAAGAAAGAACCGGTTCATTTCAACGGCTTCAGATTACTTTGTTGAATTTTCTGGGACCTTCTTTGGACTTTATCCGAAATCACTTCCTACGTATGAGAACAGACATTAGTTTTTGGAGGGGTTTTGTCTTAATCTGAGTATTTGATAAATTTTTTTTTTACCGGTATGTATTTTTTACTTTTTTCAAGGCTGCACTTACAAAAAAAGAAATTGTCTAAAGCCATTTTAAAAGTACTTTAGATTTAAACTACTTAGATAAAAGCTAGCAGCTTTAACGTTACTTTAAGAGAACATGCTTATATTTGCTGGACTTACTGGGTACTTTCATGAATCTTACTATTTTAAAAGGTCGGCTTTAAGTAAGATGGTGACCAATAAGTTCCAGGTTAGCTCTGTAAAACGTCGCCCTGAGAAAGTTTAGGGAAGCAGGAAGTCATTTTTAGATAGGTACTTGTATATAATATGGAAGTATTTGTTATATGGAGTAACATATAAGGTCAAGATGTTTTTTTAGAAAAAAAAGCTTATCTTGTACATTTTGATTATGTTCTCTAAAATGACTATTTATTTAGACTTAGACTCAGATTTATTTTGTCATTTTGTATACACAAATGTATACAAAAAAGAAATTTTGTTTAAAGTAATGAATTACTTATTTTCTTTCTAACGTAGAATAAATATATGGGTAAATTGTTCCAGCAGGAGTTTGGTGAACTGCAGCCAGGAGACCTTCCGCATTTTATACATGATGAGGCAGCAGGTAATTGAAAGCAGATTTATTTTAGAAATCAAATATCAGAGACAATCAACTAAGATAATTGCTATTTTCTTAAATCTATAGAATTAACATAGGAAGAAATGAAAATAAGTTAATAAAAACAAGGTACATAGTCTAAAAAATGCTGTAAAATAACAAACGTGGTATTGAGATGTTTACATGTAAAAGATAATATCTTCAGTGGAAGAAAAACAGAAATAAGGCCTTTTTTACATTAAATTATTAATCTTGTGTGGAATTTTTAGAAATAAGTCAGTTTGGACAAAAGATGGAAGAGTCAGTGCAGATAAAACCTCAATCAGAGATTTGGCCTAATCTGAGTCCAGATGTTCTCACCTGAGGATCCCCAGCAGCAGCGAGGTTCCCCACAGCACCGTACTGAACAACCACCACTTATCAGACTTCACTTTGATGAGCCCAGCGTCCGCAGCCCAGGCGATATGCTCACAAGGATAGTAAAGCTGGTCAGCCACGTTGGTCAGCACCGATATCCAGCGAATGGCCGCATCCTCCTCCTGAAACAACAAAATAAATTAAAATCTGTTCAGTATTTACGGAAATGTTATAAATGAAATGTTTTTTAGTGATCACCGAAGCCCCTAGTCCGTAGCTGTGGGAGTACGCCAGCATAGAGAGATCATCAAACAGCCTCAAAACTGTCCTGCAGTGGCTGAGCTGAGCAGAAAACAGCAGTAAACGTTTCCCCAGTTGCTGAGACGACGCATCTGCTACTGCTTTCCGGGTGAGAACACCTCCCACCAGCTGGGAGCCATAGCAGACAGTCCTGATCTGTGGGAAAAAACGGATGAGAGTCA